TTCCCTAACAATAATGACACCTTGTCTATTGCTAGAACCATAAACGAGTTCAAAGAAGAGCAACACTTCGTAATTTAACAGATATTCTAACCTCTACAAGCATTTGACGAGGTTGATTCAGATCCTCAACTATTATAGGGCAGACCATAGACTGCGAACCAACTTCATATGCCCATGTTGCTCCACCTTCAGAATTATCTTTTAAAAGCAGTCCTCCTTCCTTGCTGATAATCTGCAGGTTCACAACACAAAGAGGAAAAGTAGTAAGTAATCCTCAAGTACATTCAGGCTTCTTGTATCACTTGCTAACAACATATCATTCTAACATTTTGTAGAGAGTACTAAAATGTTTGCAAAATGTAAAGTAAGAAACTTATGCTAACAGTAGTGATGCTATAAGATTCCTTTGTTAATCTTCTAAACTTGAAAATTTTCCATCTCTTCGTAGTCCCACGAGCAGAAATTTAAGTTCATGACATAGTTAGAAAACCAAGTTTTGACAACGGGATCACAAAAAGATTAAATGGTTAGGAGCAAACCTTTGACTCTCCAGTCTGCTTTAATTTGTCAGCATGTTTGGTGACACTCTGCAAGAAAAGCATGTGCTTGATTGTGCGTTCCAGTAGTGCATCAATGCTACACTGAAATCAAAAAATCCAAAAAGGAAAAAGCGTCTATAAGAGAAATTATTCATCCTACAGAATAGGAAAGAAATATATATACATAATAATAATGAAAATATATTAAAGGAAATGGTAAAGAGTTCAAAACTAAGTATAACCTTTGCCCCATTTGGAACAATTTCTCGCAGTTCTTTGACACGATCTTGGATCATTTGCCGGTCTTTTGGCCTTGGTCTAGGATTCTCTCCTGGTTTAAGCCTTTTGCGGCTGGTTTTGCTCGTCTCATCAGGCTTCTTAGAATATCCAGTAGAAACACTGCTAGTTGGCTTTGTCTCATGACCCTGTTCCACCCATGAACTAATTTGTGACCCATAAATTGAACTACTCTGCGAATAGGCTCCTGTGTTTTCATTGGAGCACTCAGATCTAAATGAACGAGAAACCATTGCTCCTGATTTTGCAAGAGTTTTGGGCTGGCCAAATACCTCTCCTTGAATTTGACTAGAGAAACCAGCTCGGCCGTAGGAAGATACAGCATTTGGAGCAGAGGACCTACTCAAATTCGTTATTGTTGTCCGACAAGAAACATCATCATCCAAATTCTGCTTGGCGGAAGGCTTGGATGCTATGGAATCCAAAAGACGCTCAAAACCAGCCGCAGAAAATGATCCACTATCGGACATTCCTTGATTGATTGTCGAAGAAGCAGCATACTGACTAATTACGGAAGTAGAAGTAGAGTTATTCTTAATCCAATCCTCTGTGTTCGAGTCTGGTCCGTTACTTTGATAACTATTCCTTTCATTAAGTAGTTTATTTTTTAATTCGGTACCCAGAACATCAAAGAGGTCATCCCCCGAGTGACCTTGGACACAGGAATCTTCATATTTGTTATTTTCAAGTAAAGCATTATGCTCCATGTTTTCATGTTTTTCACCATAAACCTCTTGCATGTACTTGCTTGAACACGGGTGCTCATTCTGTGTTAGCATAATACCGAGCGCTTGAAACAAATCGTTTTCTACTATTCCGTTACTCTCATCCCACATAAATTGTGAACTCTGACCATCAGAATTATTATTGGTAATCACATCATTCCCAACATAAGACGAAGAAGATGCGTCCAATTTTGAAGTGATTTGAAGCCCATTTCCAGTAGACTTTGTGCAAGAGTTGATTTTGCCAAAATCATGGCTACCAGCATTTGAAGTGATCCCCTGTTCAAACAACCTTAAGCTGCCACTATCTACAGTTAATGAATCAATAGAATGCTGATGAAAGGGAGGCCTCAGAATGTGCAAAGAAGCTTGTTGACTCGTCCATATGTTGGAGTCTGGAGAAATTACCTCTGCTTTAATCACATTATTTATTAGGTGGCAATTAGGAGACAGGTTTGCTTTCACCTCTGGAACAATTTTGTGAAACTGACGATCATGAGAATCAACAAAACTTTGGGACATATTGGGGGCTCGAAATGTTGCATCAGTAGACAGGATTCTATTCTGAACTTGTGAAGCCAGAGAGGAAGTTTGACCAACGAAACTGTCAGTCTGACTTGAGTTACTCTGATAACTGCAGCTAGCAATAATTGGAGTGGAGTTCATCGATTTGGCTCTCCCATAAGAATCTAGAGAAACTGGTGCAGTGTTAACTGCAGGATCTTTCATTGCATTTTCATCGGATAACAAGACACCAGGAACACATCCTAGTTGACTTATCAGCATCCTCGCGTCCTCCACAAAACCCATATTCTCCATTATCTGAGGCAGCAAAAATGACCATTTTACTTTACATAATTTATGATAGTAAAATTGAAAAACAAAAGTTTAATCAATCAGTTAGCCTAAATCCCAAACTAGTTGGATCCGCAATACGAATCCCCTATTCTTCTATTCATTCCCCGATTCATCAACATAAGTTCTCTTTTAAGGCAACAACTAAGGGATCTAGCTTGAGAACAAATTATTGTACGCAATGATGGTAGATATAATTCGAGTACCTTAGTGCCCAAGACTATTTTTCACCAAGTAAGATTTTAAAATGGGAAAGAAAAATGAAGAACTTACATGTGAGCATGATCCAAATTGGACAACACCATGAGGAAGAATAGGAACAACTGCAATTGTCTGCATATCAGTAAACAAAAAGAATCAGTGAGCCGCAAAAGAAACACACACAGCATTTGCGTTAATTCAAACAGATTGTACCTTGATGCCAGCATTAAATTGTTGAGTCAGCTCTTTCAGTACCTAAAAGAACCACATCGTATGGATACACCAGTAAGTATCAGTTAATGCATCCAGAAGATGCAATGAGACACAAATTACATTACATCGTTGCATAAAAAAGATAACCTAGTTTAAGTTTGTCGTTAACCTTACAGAAAAAAAACCAAAAAAAAAGCGTTGTATCTAACTTTGACAGAATTAAGTTGAATTGTGAAATATTAACTTTTTACCACACAAGTTATTATGGGCAAGGGACAGCTATTCAAATACTAATTGCAATGGAGAAAGTACAGATCATGTATAATATGTAATACAGGCCACATATCTCTTTCTTGGGAGAAAACTTAACCACAGCAAGCTAGGAATTATCTCAATATGTACCTCTGGTGGATGAGCTACTCTACTAAAACCATCTGAATGAAACCACTGATGATTCCCAGTAACTGCAGCCCGACCGACTAGTCTGAGAAGAAAAATTATGAATATCAACGACATGGTACGAGTAAACGAACTCTTTGCTGATACTCATTTTTAAAAAGATAGAATCAATAAACTGAATTAAGAAATTATACCCTTCTCCTACTAGATTGAATTGACTTTCCGTCATCATTTTGTTTACGAGTAAATGCACTCTCTCCCCTGCCTGATTCATAAGCTGAGAATTACAAACACCCCAATCTTGGAATGATAGTTCAGTATTCTCAATTTCAGATATTCCAAGAATTCCAGAGAATGTTAAGGGTTGATAATAGGATTCTTCCCAAATTAAAAGCCTGTCAATAAGTAAAAGAAAAAATTGTTAAAGAATCACTTGAAAAAACTTTAGTGAAGGGGTTAACAAAATACCAGCAGATAAGCCAAAATTCAGTGTCATTAAAAAGAAAGTGACAGTTCTGTGTTCCTATTTGCAAGACTATTGGAGAAGTGTGTATATAAAATAAAGAGTATGCTTGCATACAGGAAATCATAAGGGTTTCAGCAAATTAAAACAAATCACTTTCATTTTTTTTCATTCCACAAAGATTCTTCAAGACAAAATGGACTAAAACAACCACAACATTCCAAAAGCAGAAAATGACATTTTCCAGATTACAAAGCCAAAAGCAGAAAATGAAACAATATTCTGTAAATCCATAGCATGTAAAGTAATACCATAATAAACAATAATGTGTAGCACAGTATTATGCTACACATTACAAAGCTCTAAGTTTGCTTGGTCAAAGAAAGGAACTGAGCACAATAGAATCAGTGAAACTCAGTTTACAGTTTTCCAGCAGCTGAAGTGCTGAACAACAAAAGGACCATCAGACTTTACACTTTTTCAGTTTCTTACTTTCATTTGCCCTCCATTTTCTCAGCAAAGTGAAAACAATTGTCAGTACAAAATCCAAAACAACAAGAAAAACGAAAAGATGAAAAAGAAATTCTACAAAATAAACAAAAAGGCAAATACATTTTTCTCCATTTACCCAACAAAAAAGAATAATCACATAAATCTGAACTCAACTCACAAGCCAAGATTATTATTTTTTTATTTTTGAGCAGGAGGATTTCCTTGTTCTACTTTCATTTTCTTCCCCCGTTTTTAAAAAGAAAAAAAATAATTTAAAAAAAAGGCTTACCCAACTTGAAAAAAGATAAAAAGAAGAATTTACATTAAATCTGAACTCAACCCACAAAGCCAAGATTACATTTTTTTCAGCTTCTAATTTTTCTTTTGAGAAAGAAAATCAAAAGAAAAAATAAAAAAGCTAAAGCCGCATGAAAAAACTAACAAAAATGCCACAAAAAAGAAATGAAATCAACCCACAAGCCAAGATCATTTTTTTTTTCACTACCATGGAAAAAATTTCACTTAAACAAAACACAAGCCAATATTACATTTTTCTACATTCAATTTAATTTTTTACTTTTGAAAAAAGAAAAAAAAACTAAACCCACATGAAAAAAAAGAGAATTTGATTCATTGAAATAAGAAAACTCACTTAGTATTCTGGCAACCGATCTTCCAAAAAACAGCATAAGACCATTGGTTCACTCCACAAAGTGTCTTCAAAACCTCTTTCAACAAATACCCCATTTGCACTAATTTTTGTTTGTGAATATCTCAAACAGAGAGAAAAAACACTTTCTGTGTTTTCTCTTTCCTTTTCTTGTTTTTTTCAGCTAAAAATATAGATTAAAGGAACTAACTTCCTCTGCAAGAGCCCCGCCCAGCTTGTTTAGTTCTTAATCCACCACTTCTTTTTCTCACAGGATCCAAATTTTGTACTATCATATCCCTGCAACCCATTCTATGGGTTGAAAAAAGTTAAAGTGAAAAAAAAGGGAGATTTTTTTAAAGCCAAAAATGGAGAAGACAACCCTTTGGAGAAAACTACACTATACCACAAGCTTTAAGTTCACAGCTAACAACAACTACAATTTTCTCCATTTTTTACAAAAAAACAAGAAAATGGGAAAAAGATATGAATGTTAAGAATTGAAAGGAGTTAAAGATCAGAGCTTTGATGAGTGTTCTTGGATTCTTGGTTCTTGGGGCTGTAAAAAGTGAATCTTTTGGTGTTTTAGAGTTTACTCACTGTGTGTATTGTGTGTTTTAGTGGGCAAAAAGGAATGGTTATTTTTCGTGGGGCTGTTGTTGTGTTTGCAGTGTTTTGCTCTGTGTTCATCAGAAGAAGAAGAAGCAGAGGGAAGGAGGAGGAGGGTAAAAATAGGTGGTAGGGAGTGTGCTAAAATACGCTCATGTCTGGTGGGGTTTTGCTAAAATACGCTAATGATTACTCCCCTTCTTATTTTATGTGATACATTTTAAAAGTTGAAGTACAAAGAGATATAAAATTTGCAGTATTTATTTATGTTGATATAAAATTCGACAAGGTGGGTTGCTCTGATGGTAAGCACCCTCCCAAGAGCAAGGTGGAAAGTTCTTGAAGGGAAGTATGTCGAGGGTCATTTGAAAATAGCCTCTCTACCCGGGTAGGGGTAAGGTCTGCGTACACACTATCCTCCCCAGACCCTACTAGTGAGATTATACTGGGTTGTTGTTGTTGTTGTTGTTGTTATTTATGTAAATATAATATAAATTATTTTATTAAAGATAAAATAAAAAATTTGAAATTATATTATTTCGAAATATAAAATTTTTTAGTTTGGGACAAACTAAAAAAAGATACATTAGTAAATTGGAATAGAACGAGTAATTAATAAAAGAATTTGTAGTTTAATTTTTAATTTTTATTTGACAAAAATAGGCTTGGGAATAGTATAGAATTACGGGGTTTTTGCCACTGTGGGAGTTTCTTGTCGGCTTTCTGGTCTCTTTCCAATTCAGGGGAGGCTCAGTGCTTTTGTGTTTTGTGCATTGGGACTACACAAAAGAATCTTGGTATTTGCTTTCTCTTAAAAATGCAAAAACAAATACTCCATAATCTTCAAATTAAAATAAATGAAATCTTAGGACCAGCCATTAATTTGCAAAGTTTGTTGAAAAATTAATTTAAAGTTGTTGTAGTAAACTAAAATTATTTATGATTTGGTATTATAATTTATTTAATTTATATTTAAATAAAATTTGTAATCAAAATTATATAGGAATAGATTTTTTTATTTCTAAATAAAATAATTTTTGTATTATTATGAATATGGGTGTTGATAGTTTATTTTATGCGTGAAAGAATTGTAAAGAGATCTATAATAAAATATTCCATCTTCAAAGTTTAATAGAATATAAATTATTTAGAAGGGGTAGATAAATTTATTTGGAGAAAAGTTTTTTAGGACACGAGTTCAACGGAAAACTAAAGTAATAAGATACATTAATGATATGACTGGAGTATGATAAACAACTTTAAAGAGATAGGTATCCACAATATTAATTACGAGAATGACTATGAAAAATATTCAGTTGTTAAAGTGAAGTTAAAGATGTTATTAATACTAATTAATGACTCCATTGACTTAGAAATAGGAAAATGAGATTAATAGTACTCCATCTTATTTCATTTTTATGCAATAATATTAGGGAAAACATCATAAATAGCCTGATTTATAACTCCTAATTGAAAATTAGTCACAATTTAAAAAATAATTAAAATTTAGCCACTTTTTCATGTAAAAATAAAATCTAAACTAAAATGACCTTAAGGATTTAGAAAAATTTCAGCATAGTATGCTGGAATTCGAATTTCATACGTATGAGATTCGAGCCTAGTGTGCTGGAATTTCATAATGTGTTGGAGTCCTAACATAATATGCTGAAAGTTTATACGCAGGAACTCCATATAACATATTATGTTGAAACTTTTCGTGTTTCAGCAAGGGTATTTTTGTCCAAGTTTTATCTCCGCATAAAATAGTGGTTATTTTTGAATAACTTTGCAAATGCTGGCCATTTTTTAATTACAAATTCAGAAACTGGTTAGCCTATGCTATTTTGACATATTATTACTATGACACAATTTTGAATTCAAAAATAATTTAATTTTAAAATTTTTATTTAACCCTTAATAATATATTTTTATAGTCACAAAATTTCATAGCATATTTGAGGCTACAAATTTTAAAAATCTTTATTTTTCTATAAAACTCTGTCCCAATTAAATTACTTCACATACATTGAAAGTGATACATTAACGTTGTGTATGTATTCAAATTACCTCACTAAAATCATTCAAGTTATATTGTCTTAGTTTATGCTCAATAATTCAATACCAATAACCTATAATCTGATATTCTTCTTAATCGCAATTAATATAGAGTATTCTATATTCTATTTTCTTACATTTAGCTTATTCAGTATTTAACTTCTACATGTCTAATAAAATGTCGTTCCGAAAATTAGGTTACTCTTTCTAATGTCTTATCCAAAAACAATATTTTGGTCTAATTTCCTTAGAATATCTTATTATACATGAAAGCGGCAAAAACTTTTACGTACCACATAATCATATTGTATAAAGTCTAATCTTTTTCCTAAACAAGAAAAGTAAAATCTTGATTTTCTTTTACCCTTTTATTCTTTAGGCATTTCGTTAAAATATTATTGTTAAAAGTACTTCTTTATTTTATTTTTATTTATTTTGGTGGAAAGAGGTGGATTATTTGTAAAGCAACCTACTTTTCAGTGGGGGCAATGTATCTTGGGACCTCTAAGTTTCTTTTCTTTTAATTGATTTATTTTTCCAAACTCTTTACATTTTTTTAATGGGAAAGTCAGAGGGGTTATTCAGAGACTGTAGTCAGCAAAGGGTGTTTCTCATAGTGGGTATTGCTGTCAGGATGACGTATTCCGTATTTACCCCTCACTTTGACTACTTTTTCACCTATTGCCACTGATCATGACGCCAATTCTCTGTCATTATTAGTACTTGTATAATTTTTGTTGAATTTCTTCTTTTAAATTACTAAATTATTTTAAGGGTAAAACAGAAATTACAGATGAAATAAAGAAATGAAAAACTGGGCTAAAACAAAATTGAACAGTCAGAAAATGAGATTACATCTGCATTTAAAGCAAAATATATCAACATCCTCCTCTTTTAAATCTGTTAGTACGTCACAAAATCTTACGAATTTATGTAACACTACAAAGGATATAATGCAAACAGTAGAATCATTATCTTTAATTAACAGTCTCATTTAAATCCTGAAAGCAAAAACACTTAATGGTAAATGGAGTAACACTATTTTTTTAGTTAACGTGTCCAACATGAATTTAAATTCGTAAGGCCAATACATTTTAAATACCAGATACTTCTAGCTAAATAAATAAATATCGATTGCGAATATTGGACACAATAGATATTCTCTATTACTCAGTTGAAATCCTGAAAGCAAAAACGTTTATTGGTAAATGGAGTAACTCTATTTCTTTAGTTAACTATCACGACCAAAAATCCAACTAGTCGTGATGGCACCTAACACATTCCGTTAGGTAAGTCAATTTCCAACTAACCAAATTTTAATAATAATTATTAAAGCAATTTAAGTGAATAAAGATCATAATCTTATACAATCCTCAAGAGCTGGTAGTACAAATCATGAGCTTATAAGAATAGAATATACAAAGCAGAAATGAAATAAATACATAGTCTATTTGAATAGTACATAAATAGAGTTTATATAAATCTAAGGCTACCCTGAACAAGAGGCAGCTAGTAGAGGAACGCAGGTACATCTTCAAATCCCGCAACCATCAAGCACAGCAACAACAGCCAACATCTGCACGCAATGTGCAGAAGTGTAGTATCAGTACAACCGACCCCATGTACTGAGTAAGTAACAAACCTAGCCTTAGGTTGAAAGTAGTGACGAGTTTCTACCAAGGTCGGATCCAAAATCACTAATCCACAACAGTTAATAACGACATAAAGCAAATAATACCAGAAGTAACTTAGAGATAAAATACTCAGTCACATCATGATTTCATCAATAATAGTTCTTCCTTTCAAGTACATAAGTGAAAATCCAAATCTTTTGCCAAAGTTACCAAAAATGTGAATAAGTTTGAAAACAAAAATTTTTCCACAATCCTTTCAATAATAAATAAAATATCTCTTTTTTTTTTCAAATAACCAGAGTAAAACAAATGCATCACTATGCCCATCTGTCAACATGTGTGAGAAATCATGAATAATGTGATATCGTACAGCATGAGAAAAACACATCTCTATGCATATATGTCACGTGTGCATGTCAATGCAATGTATCTCAGAGGTTGTACTCATGTACTCACACTCTCAGAGTACTCAATCTCATTGTGTCGCATTCTCTCCCACTGTGCTCAGCACACTCAATCACTCAGCGCTATACAATACCTGTTGCGACGTGCAGCCCGATCCCTGTTTATAGTCAACTGCGCTTTCTCGGGGTGTACAGACTCATGAAGGGTTCCTACAGCCCAAGCGCTATAAGCACGGATAACTCACGTGATGCACGGACAACTCACGTGCCATAATATAAATATCTGGATCCGCACGGCTAACTCACGTGTTGCACGGCCAACTCACGTGCAATAATAATATAAGAATTCGCACGGCCAACTCACGTGCAATAATAATATAAGGATCCGCACGGCCAACTCACGTGTTGCACGGCCAACTCACGTGCAATAAGAAGCCAATAAGGCCTGCTGCAAGCGGGCAGCCCCGATCAATAAAATATCCTCACAATCAGGCCTTCGGCCTCCCTCGGTCATCAATCTCTCCGGTCTCTCTCTCATGGGCTCACAATGTCATGAGAATAGCCCAAAATAATGATATGATGTATCAATAAATAACAACAGAGACTGAGATATGATATGCAATGAAATGAATATGACTGAGTATGAATTTTCAATTTAAACAAA